GACGATAATTTAAGATTCGGCAAACCCGAATTGCGCTTTTAATAATCGAATTATTGGCAATTGATCCTAATCTCACACCACGTCTCCGTATCACGAAAATATGTAAAACTTCGAACCTAAGCTAACAATAAATCATATTTTTTTCGCAGCGACACTTTCGCCGCTAACAAGCTCTAGTAACGAACGGCGTGTCATGGAATAATCGTCTAGAGCCGAGTGTATAGTGGACGAAGGTGTTATGATGCACTTACCAAGTCCCACGAAAGTGTACCGTAAATTTGTCTCGTCTCCCTTCCCTCCTCATAACGAATATTCTAAGCGAGCGTACCTCTCGAGCGTGTCGCGCTGCCGCTCCACGGATCTCTAAAGTTTCGATGAAGCCGGAAAAAAGTTGGATCCCGTCTTATACAGTCGCCCTTTTTCCTCTCCCTTCTCTTCCCTTCTCTTCTCCCGCAACTTACTAAATGCGAGCTAACACTTTCGTCCACCTGCCACTTCAATTATGTCCCCGGTGTGTTTCGCTACGCCCGTCCAGCTTCAATTACGGCCATTCGACAATATCCGCGGAACTTATCCGCTATTAATTAAGGGCGTTCGATCGCTGCCTTAATTAAGATCGCATTGGGAAAATTTAATAATCCCTCCTCTTTCCCCCTTCCACCGTTTCTCCAATCCCGAATTAAAAGTTACACGAAATTATTCGCTTATTCGATGCGCGATATGCTAATAAAATTTAATAAATCGCTCGTTCGTCCGCAACGCGCGTTATTCTGCTTTTGTCGCGATTCGTAGTATCGCGCTGACGTTAAATTTTCCATGCAAAGCGCTCGTTGTCGTTTCACGAGGATTATCTCCTTTTTTTCCCATACGAGAAAAACGTATTATTCGGTTACTTTCATTCTACGCTCATTATTGTTAATTATGACGCAGTTGTATGATCGATTACGAGATAAAATCCGTCTCTAATAATGTCGCATGTATGCTTTAATAACGTTGGTCGCAATCTCGTCTCCGACCATTGAAATATTTGACGATACTATGATAAAACGACAGTCTGCGCGCGTCGAAAGAACGGTGCTTGTGTCGCTCTTCGTCGTAGTAAAATTTGAGGAAATCGTATCGGTCGACGTCATTTTAAAGCAACGCCCGTTTCCGTGCGAGGATCGTCTGTCGTGCACAAAAGGAAACGGAAAAAAATATACGAATCGTATAAAAGCCTGCTCTCTTTCTCGCCGAGAGAGAAAGAGAGAAAGAAAGCGGCGTCCTCAGCTTCTCCGGCTGGTTTCAAGCCAACCGAAAGAAACGTTTTACAATGGGCGGCTGTCTGTGTCTCTCTCTCTCTCGTGACGATTCGGCCCATTATTTATTAAAGATCCATTCTTTTTATCGGAGGATAGTTTCTCCCTCTGTCTTTCTATGAGAAAAACAGCGAGCCGCTCT